TTTTGTTGTGTAGTGTGTTGTGTTGCTTCATCGATCATTTGTTATACTTTCAACTGATAAAAAATTGATTAGGGTTAAAAAAAAAATTATTTATTTTTATTAGGGTTAGGTTTTACCAAGGATATGTTCATTCAAAAAATTGAATAGATAAAAATAGATTTCAACAGATAAGAAAAATTAGCACAAGAATTTCAACAGATAGGATACATTAGCACAATAATTTTAACAGATAAGACAAATTAGAGAGAGAAATTCTTAGAATTTGAATAGATAGAGAGAGAAACACATATAATTTGAACAGATAGGGAAAAAAATTGAATAAATAAGGAAAAAATTGAACAGATAGATATAAATTTGAACAAACAGTTAAAATAATTTGAACAGATAGTCTAAAAAATTCAACAGATAAAAAAAAGTCAAACAGATAAATTAAGGGGTAAAGTTGAAAATAAAATGTCTTTCAAAATAAATAAAAGGACTTTTAACAAAACTGTTTCACAAAGAGTGGACTTTTCATCAATAAAAAAAATATCCATTGGACAAGTCTTATACCCCTTTTTAACTTGAATTTTTCAACAATTTTCTCTAAAATAATTTATAATTTTAATTATTAATATTTATAAAATTAATCATTTATTTATAGTAAATTTTTTTTTTAATTTACACTACATTGAAATTTTCCCTTTTATTTACTATTTGCATACGCTTGTTTTCCATAGTTTCATGCATTTTTTTAATTGGTAGATTACACTATTTATTTTTGAAGTTTCTTTTGTATAATTAACAAATATAAATTAAAATTTTATTAGTTCTTAATATAATTATATTAAACTTGTAAGGGTAAATATTTTTTTTTACTAAACTCAAGGGGATCTTAGTGTAATTTACCATCTCTCTTTTCTTTTCTTTTAGTTAACTTGTAAAGTCTCATTGTATAAATTATTTGGAAAAAGAGAAAAAATAAAAGAGAAAATTTTTAAATCATTTTGTTCTTATTTATGCGTGAATACATATCTAGAAGGGTCATAAGTTGTTGTTTTTTTTTTTTTTTCATGTTTCTAATTTTAAAATTCATAATTTTTAAGGTAATTTTTTTAAGATCCTTCATATTAAGATTTTATAATATAAAAGATATGAAATACTCTTATAGTAGTTGCGGTCCCTCAAATTTTTACAGAGAAAGTTCAAAACACAGAGAAATTTGTCTGAAATTTCTCAGTGTGTTGAAATTTGTCTGAAATTTCTGATTTGAAATGTCTCTGTGTTTTCAATATTTTCTGTATTTTAATTTTTTTATTTAAAATTTCTCTAATTTGCTCAAAAATATTTTTGTGTTGTGATCAATTTTATCTAATTTACTTACAATTTTCTCTATGTTTTGAATAAATCAGAAAAAATTGAACTACTTACAAATAATTTTCTTTGGCATCAATCAAGGCACTAATGATAAAGAAATTACAGAGAAATTCATCTCAACCAAACTACTAATTTTAACACGATCAAACAAGCACATAAAATAAAGTAAATCCAACGTGTTAAGATAAAACTGTGATACCAGAAAAAATTCAACTCAAGGGGAAAATTAAACACAAGAAGACAACTAATCAATAAAAATCAAACAAGTTGTTTTTTTTTTATTTTTTTTGAAAAACGTGTAAAAAAGTAGAGAGATGATATTGTAACAACCCAAATTTTTAATTATTCTGTAGAATTTATATTAATATTATTTAATCTCAGTTCAAAAAATATATAATTTATTATATATTATTATGCGTAATTTTGTAAAATAATATAATTATTAAAAATAGAGGTCAAAATATAAATAATAATAATATAGATAATATAAATAATAATAATAATGGGTGTAGTACTAAAATAAATAATTAATTCTCTATTTATATATAATAAAATGTAATTTAATTAAAAATTAATTAATTTATATAACTATATTGAAATATCAAGTCAAAAAATAATTATTTTAAATATCTATTAAAATGAGAACGAATTTATATAATTTTTAATCGAATCTGAGCTAGATTCGCACGCCACGCATGCGCCTTATCTCCCTGTATAAAGGGAGGCGTGTCACCCGGAGCAGAAAGGAAAGAAAAAAGGAATGGAAAGGAAAGAAAAGAAGAAAGAAAGAAAGAAAAAAAAAAGGAAAAGAAGAAAAAAATAATGGAAGATAAGAAGAGTTTTTAATAGTGAAAAAAAAGAATAAGGTATTACAGTTAAAGTAAGTTATGTTATACCTTGAGTCACTAAAATGTATTTTACGTATATTTTGGCTTACCAAAATCTGTTTTACACAAGTTATGTTTTATTAGTATATTAATGAAAGTTATGTTTTTTAAAGATTTCAGTTACGTGGTTTTATTTCTGAACCCTATTTGTTTGTTTATATTTTAAAGAATATTTGACTACGACCTTATGAACAATTATGTTTTGTAAGTACCACCACGGGAGTCCCATACTTTAGGGGACTTAAATAACCATTGGCCTCTGTTTAGTTACTTTGTAACCCTCTGATCCATTGACATTTGTTCTGTGCGGAGCTAAGTGCTACACTATCGTGGGAGCCACCTCTAGAACCCGTGCAAGCCACCTCTTGAATCCGTACCTCTGTTCTGGCTATCACTTCAATGGCCTTTGTTCCGTTCTGTTCTATACTGTGGTCATGGTTATATATTTACCTAATTTATGTATTTCAGTTTTCTGCCACTTAAATGAAAATAATCTCAGTTTTGCTACTTAAAGGATTATTTGTTCCGACTAAGTTATCTTAAATGTTTTGGCCTAACTAACTATCCATGGTTATTTCGTGTCCCTTATACTCTTGGTATAATATTTCTCACTCTGCCATGTGCTTATAGTTGTTTACCAATTTTCAGGAAACAATGCAATTCAGAAATAGCCTTTGGAAAGTCTTAGATGTGGGGCTGCGGAATAGACACACACAACACTTTTATGATATTTTTTATATGTAAATATTGACCTTTTTGGTCAATACATATTGTAATAAAAATAGAAACTCCAATGATTATTTTGGTACCCTTATTTAAATATTATTTCCACTCGCGTTATTTGATTTGTTTAAGAATTGGCCGTAGGTAACCTCAGTTACTTATCATCACGATGCTAAACCCTTAGGTACGGGGAGCGAGTCGTGACAGATATGACCAAAAATAGGTTAAATGTCAAAAATTGAATTTTAGCCAAATTTTCAAATTGGCCCATAATTTGATGGGTTAGAAAAAATTTAAATGTCAGAGAAAATTTAGCTCAAAAAACCCTTATTTCCACCAAAATCTCAATCCCAAACTCAAACTCAAACCCACCCACAAACTAAAATTTGAGTAATGATTCATCCCCCCTTTTTCCCCCACCCCCTTTGACCCCCTCTCTCTCTCATTGGCTAGCTTTTCTTTTTCTTTTTCTTTTTTTTCCTGCTCCTCCAATCACCCCCTACCACGTGGCAAAGGGGGTGAGGGGGTGACTCCCAAAAAGGGGTCCCAAGCATTATTCCTAAAATTTATGCGCCATTCATGAGCCAAAGGACATCAATCAAAATCACATGATTCTTAATAGTTCAAGTAATCTAGGCCTTTCTTTATTGAAATTTCAAATATAAAATACAATATTGGTATAGGTATATATATATACATACATAGAGAAAGAGTATAGAGATGGAATATACATACATAGAGAAAGAGTATAGAGATGGAAGAGAGAAAAGACAGAAGAGAGAGAGGAATTGAGATTTCGTATATGTATATATATATAAGAATTTTAACCAAAAAAATTATTCTGAAATATATTATCACCAAAACAATGACAACATAAACAAAAGAACGAAAATTTTTTTTTTAAAGTTCAGTAAAATTGAAATTAAAAAAAAAAATTACGCTAAAAGCACGGTTCATAAAAAAATTTGGCAAAAAATCGTGGTTCTAAAGAGTGAGATGAAATATTTTTTTCATAAAATGTGGGTTTTGATGAACTCGTGGTTAAAGACAAAATGAAAGAAAAAAAAATTAATATGAGAACGGTTTTAGTAAAAGAATTTTAACCAAAAAAATTATTCTGAAATATATTATCACCAAAACAATGACAACATAAACAAAAGAACGAAAATTTTTTCTTTAAAGTTCAGTAAAATTAAAATTAAAAAAAAAAATTACGCTAAAAGCACGGTTCATAAAAAAATTTGGCAAAAAATCGTGGTTTTAAAGAGTGAGATGAAATTTTTTTTTTCATAAAACGTGGGTTTTGATGAACTCGTGGTTAAAGACAAAAGGAAAGAAAAAAAAAATTAATATGAGAACGGTTCTAGTAAAAGAGTTTTAATCAAAAAAATTATTCTGAAATATATTATCACCAAGACAATGACAACATAAACAAAAGAACGAAAATTTTTTCTTTAAAGTTCAGTAAAATTGAAATTAAAAAAAAAAATTACGCTAAAAGCACAGTTCATAAAAAAATTTGGCAAAAAATCGTGGTTCTAAAGAGTGAGATGAAATTTTTTTTTCATAAAACGTGCGTTTTGATGAACTCGTGGTTACAAAGAGCGAGTTCATTAGAATTTTTTTTTTTACTAAACTCGTGCTTACAAACAGCGAGTTTACCTTTGTGATAAAATCGTGTTTTCAAAGAGCGATTTCAGCAGAAATTTTTTTTTGCTAAACTCGTGCTTACGAACAGTGATTTCGAATAAACTCGTGCTTGTAAATAGCGAGTTTAAAGGAAATAAATTTAATCAAACTCGCATTTTCTAACAGCGAGTTCTTAATTAAACTCGCTTTTCCTAACAGTGAGTTTAAACTTTTACTGATTTCAGACGACGGGAATGAAAAAGTCTTGAACTCGCGATTGTGAACCGCGAGTTAACTCATTTTAAAAATTCTTTCAAAACTAGGCTTAGTTTGGAATTCCCTTCTTATTTTAGCTTATTTAGGGAATACCCCTGTGATAAACCCTACTCTGTTCGCACGTCCGTTGAATGTGTTTTGCCACAAAACCCTAAACCCTAAATTCTTATCAGTCAGTCTCTCGTCGCTGAGAGAGGGGGAGGGAGAGGGAGGGGGGGAATCCTCAGTGCAGCAGCGCGGTTGGTGATGATGATGCTAACGTTGAAGGGTCGGGTTTCTAAGCATTTGTTATATCAATCGCCATCGACTATTCATTCAACGTTGCCCCTTTTGATGAGGTTATGCTCCTTTAGTTCAATCGATATCGATGGTGCTGGTGGTGGTGCGGGTCGAAGACAACCCTTGAAAGGAGAACAAGGCACAATCAGCAGCGGCGCAGCAGCTTTTGCCCGTAGTAGCACCGAGCCTGCCGAAATTGATAATAACAACTACGACCGAACCAGAGAGGATAAACGGAGAACGTACGACACAGGCCGTCAGAATCCACCGGATCCCATACCCAATAGGCCCTTGCGGGGCAGCAGGGGATACGAGAATAAGTCAACCTCCTCCGCCGACACCATCAACCAGAGGAGCAAGCCCGTTGGAATGGGAGGAAGCAGAACCGGTCGTCAATCTCCCAGCACTAGCAGCAGCAGCAGCAGCGATCTTTTCTTATTCGATAAATTTGGCCACGACGGTGATGACGAGGAGGAGAAAAATACGAAGAAGCAATCCTCTCAAAAGCAATATTCCCGACCTCAACCTTCGAAGCAGGAGCAGGAGCAGGAGCAGGGCCACGATTTTCTTGAAAAATTCAAGCTTGGGTTTGATAAAGGGGACAAGCATCTCCCGTTGCGTAAACAAGAAGAGGACAAGGAGATGAAAGCTTCCCCACCTCCTCCTCAAGACGTGGACGAGATATTCAAGAAAATGAAGGAAACAGGCCTCATTCCCAATGCCGTGGCAATGCTTGATGGCCTCTGCAAGGATGGGCTAGTCCAAGAAGCCATGAAGCTTTTTGGTCTGATGCGCGAGAAGGGTACCATCCCTGAAGTCGTGATATACACAGCTGTGGTCGAAGGTTTCTGCAAGGCCCAAAAAATGGATGATTCTATGAGGATTTTCAGGAAAATGCACAACAACGGGATCTCTCCCAATGCATTCAGTTACACCATCTTGATTCAAGGCCTCTACAAAGCTAAGAGACTGGAGGATGCACTTGATTTCTCTGTGGAAATGCTGGAGGCTGGTCATTCCCTCAACTTGGCTACCTTTGCGGGTTTGGTTGATGGGTTTTGCAGGGAAAAGGGTTTAGAAGATGCCCGGAGCATCATTGGAGCATTGACGCAGAAAGGGTTCTCTTTTGACGAGAAAGCTGTTCGAGAGTATCTGGACAAGAAAGGGCCATTCTTGCCACTGGTTTGGGAGGCAATATTTGGAAAGAAAAGCTCGCGGAGACCTTTATGAGTTTTCCTGTCAGAGTCATACATATTGTAAGCTCTTGTCTTATGCTCTAACTTGCTTCCTTGGCTTTCCCCAAAATCTTACTGCAATTAACTCTCAATCAACATCCAATTTCATGTTTCTTGGATTATTTATTTATTTGAAATGAAATGGCATTGGCATGGATGCTGAATGTTTCTAGCATCCAATCAGGTAGATCTGTGTACAAAGCTTGTTGAAGCTTGTGCTTTTAACGTGAGAATTAGACTCAATAACTTTTCTAATAAATATGCATGTGATTTTTCTGTATTTTGTTTATTTATAAGATTGTGCTCAATTTTCTGAATGCGAGCCTGTAGTAAATCAAGTGGGGCTTAAGAAAGTCAAAAGGCTACCAATAAGGTGAAGGGGCTGAATACAAGAGCAAAGTTATGACCTTAGTGTTATATCTCTGTCCTTTTAACTCATTTAGGTGCCTTCATGAAAGCTTTTGGATTAAAGCACTACTCTCAGGTCTGCCTCGGTAGGTTAGCTAGAATTATGACTTTAATCTCAGTATATGAATAATGCCATGGAAACATATTTTCAGCCAGATGTTTCCAAAAGTTTTTCATCTCATTATCACTAGACATTCCAAGAAAAGGGGTACTACCACTTTGTGAGCCGCTAAGTTTTCATGTGTCTATTATTGAGTGCTCTTATTTATTCCGCAGGAGTTTAATGGTTTTGGTTCTGGTTCTCTGGCAAGGATTGAGAGCAAAATATGTGAATTGCCTACAAATGTGCAATAGTATTTCCTTGAAACAACTTTGATGAGACAGCATTTGAATCTTTAGAAGCAGATTTATGCTTTCAACTTCAGATCTTTCTTCTAGTTGATCCACCTTTCTTCCCATCTCCTCATGGAACAATAAGCAGGCCTGGTTATGCTAAATGTATTTGCATATGGCAATAGTTATACGCAACAAAATATTTATCATTCAGCTCAATGCTAAAATGTAACACTTTTAATAACATTAAAAAAATTGAAAATCTAAGACTTATATAGATAGAGATTAACATATATCGAAAGAGCCATATGAGAAGCAAAATCAAGAGATTTCAATGTCTGAGTGGTCACTTCAACTTATATTATTTTGTTAAAGTTGATGTGTGTAAACGGAATTAGCATGAGGAATTGGAACTATATCATAAAAATGGGATAATACAGCTGAAATCCTGAACTCAAGGTGCAAGGGAATGGTGAGGGTAATACAAGAAGTTTAGGTGATAATCTTTAAAAGGAAATCAATGACATGGAAAACACTGGTAGCTGGTTAAACAATCACAATGGTATACCAATAACTGCTATTTATTGGTACCCACTCCTTCTGCTGCTCCTTATTCTTCTTCTTGATGTACAATAATTTTTTGTTGTTAAAGTAACATATTAGAGGACAATCTTGGATCAAATAGATGAGCTAATGAAAGGGATACTTGTTGAGGAGAAGATTTTTATAGTGGAGATTTCAATGATCACGTAGGACAAAATTAACCGAGGATACGAGAGGTTGAATTTGGAACTTAATTTTAAATTTGTATATTTTTCTTATAGTTTGGCTTGCTCACATTTAATAAGTATTCTTTTCTTGTGATAGCATTATTATATGTCATCTGGAGGCATGCTTTAGAATCCAGTTGAGCACTGTAGGATTCGGAGCTCAAGGTGGTAGAGGTCTTCTATGAACTTATATAATTTCGACACCATCTGTAATAGGGATGAAGCTCTTTGGTGGCGGTGATGTGAATTGTGGCAACCTTTATGGGTGTTCTTATGTAAGGCGTTGGGGGAATAGTTGTGGCCTTGTGGACTAAGGTGTTGTGTTTTCATTGGAAGAGCATTTCGAGTGCAAAGTTACCTTCCATGGTTGCCTTTTTTTTTACCATGACATTTGACTTGTTAAAAATTCTCACTATTGATAAATTGGTAAAAAGGTTTGAGGTGCTCGCTATTAGTGCTGTATGTTTGGGAATAATGGAGAGGGTTAATCATCCGTTGGCACATTGTCAAGCTGCTGGAGATGTGTGGACCATCTGCCATCCCTACTTGGGATTCACTAGGCTTTACTGAGCTCATTGTAGAAATTTTAGAGACATGGTCAGGTGGGAGGATCCCCAGGAGGGCTTGGCCAATTTGGTAAGCAGCTCCCCATATTCTTTTGGAGGATTGTAAAGGAGAAGAGTAAGATTATTTCTGATGAGTCCCCTATTAAGTAATTAAATATGTGATGCTTAGTTCTTTATATCAATGGCTTCTTGGGAAAGGTTTTCTTCATGCCTTTCTATGTTTTGTATTTTCTTGTGTGGCTCCCTTTTGGTGCTGCTTGGTGATATTCTTTTACTTATTTAAAAAGCAAAAGAAAAAAAAGGGAGAAAAATTACTGTCTAGTGCATGTTTACTTGAAATTTAATGAGTTTAAACATTTGTTTGGATATCCAAATTTGTAAATATGTTTTCTTTTATGGAATTTGATATTTTTTCTTTTTAACTCTGTTTTTTAGATTTGGCCTCTGAAAGTAGTTCTAGTTGCCATTTCTTAATTTGCTGCATGTTCTCAAAATTATTTTTAAAATATTTATGAATTTACTTTGACATTACTTTTTGTTAACATCATCGCATATTGAATATTCTTGGCATGCAGAGGGACATTGTGAGACCTGCACTTCTGAAATTAATATCATAGTTTGATATAGGCATTGTTCTTTCATTTATGGCTGTGATTTTTTGGTCTGTAATAGCACTTCACAGTTAGTTATATACCTATTTGTTTGAATGCTCTCTTAAGCCCTCACAGAGGGTCACATACGTGCTGAATCTGTTTTGATGTCCAATACATCTGATTTCTATTTTCATTTTGAAAATTCAAATTTTCTTTCATGGGGTCAGAATGTGATAGCTGTTCTTACCTTTAAAGTGTTGGGGGTATGCTATTTCTTCTTTCCAGCCTTTTCTTTCTAGATATTCATTTACAGTCTTCGAATCATGGATTTGGAAAGGGAAAGGAAAAGGCGAGGGAAATGTGAATGGTCCAAATACCACCTTAATGGTTCCCCCAGGGGGAAAAAAAGACCAGGAAACTGGCGTGGATTTTGGGTTTTTGTTAGGAAGCGTCCTTGTTATGTCCTAGTCAATACATTGCATTTTTTGCTTTTTGGTTAACAAACTTTATATTATAGTTCGTGTTCTTGTTTGTCCAATTTGAGCTTTTGATGCCTGTTTCAATTGATCATTTTCAGTTATCCAGGGAGGTAATGTATTCCATTTTCATTTGTGTTCTGACTTGTAGCCATTGGTGTTTCAACTTATTCTGGTACTAGGGATTTCTTGAGCTTAGAGGAAAAAAATGAAATAGAGAAGAGAGTTGAACGTAGTTCACTGTACAATTGCATCAAAAAGAAAAAGGAAAAAAACAAGTTGGAACATAACACAAACTGTATTGATTTTTGCCCAAATGGATTGTAAGAGATTCAGATTGCGATTTTAACAACCATGTTCCTATAATAGATATCTTAGTTACTTGACTCACTCTCTCAAAACCACGGAAGTGCCCAAATACTGTTATCTCAGGTGCTGAATAATTGAAGTTCAATGTCTCTCAACTAAGGTCGCTCTGATTATCCCAAACTACTAGATCAAAAGGTCCTTATTTTCATAATTGGATTGAGGCCTTGTCTTGGTATGAGTTTTGGTTTTTGGGGTTTACTTGTTTCATTACATTTTTTGCTTGTTTTGTTTTATTCCCCTTTGTGGTAGGAGATCTTGAAATAGGCCTCTTCCTAACTGAAATAGTGGTATTTTCACCTAAGCAGGTTATTGATATTAAGTTTATTTTATGTTAAATCTATTCTATGCCCATGTTGTTTTACTAGTTTTCAAATTCAACCCATCTTCCTCATTCATCAAATCACCAAAAAATTTAGATGTAAAATTACGTTTGCACCCACAACTGGTGTATATATATAAGCACACAAACACACACATCCTGGGAGAATTTGCTTGTATTATTACAGTAGAAACAAATTTTGACCGCCATTTGTAGCCTTACTATTTTCTAGTTTATAATTCCTTACAATTTGCCTCACAAAAAGGATGTTTTCTGTCAAGGATTGATGTAAAATTTTGCATCAAGAGAAGGGACACACAATTCTTGGATTCATGCTTCCCCCCCCCCTCCCCCTCCTCTCTTTTTCTGCACTAACTCACTCTACAAGTAGTTTTACCAATTGCTATGCAACAAAGTTGACATGTTTGTTGTAGGTGAACATGGTATGCATGAAGTGGATCAACCAATTCATATTCTCAGGGATGCAAATTCACAGAAGCTTAACATAGTCCCATTAATAGAAATGCACTAATTGATGGTAGAGGCACATGATTGCATGTTGCTGACGGAGGTACAACATTCTGTCATTTATTTTCTGTTCTCCTGTATTGAGCGCATAAGGATTTTATTTCTTGTTATAACATTGAGCATAGGCAATGTTGCCGTATACTGACAATAGCTTTTGTAATCGGTTGGATTTTAGATTTGGTACGGTGAATGAGCCAAATGTGATTGATGAACATCCTTTTCTTAAGGGGGAGATGCTGTGGAAATGGGGCTTGTATAAATTTTAGTTATCAAATAAGAGATCTGAATATTATGGGGGTGTTTAGTGGGGTTTTTTTGAGTTAACTTATGGCTTTTGGTTTTTAAAAAGTTATTTTGAACTGTTTGGTTAAACTTATTTCAAACAGTTTCTTATTCTAACAATTTATTTTAAGTCAAAAAAATTGATTATGAGAAGCTGCTCACCTCTTATTTCTGATTATCAGTTTCTGCTATGGACATGTTAATTCACGGTTATACTCTTAGATTTTTTTATTTTTTTAAAAATAGAAAAAGATCCAAATGGACTATAAAATATTATTATTATTTTTTTTTGAGAAATATAGACAAATAGTGAATAAAAAAAATAAAAGTTAATTGAAAAAGTTACTTCACAGCTTATTTAACAAATGTTATTCAGCAACTTAAATTTATAATTTAACAGTTATACCAAACAGATTAACAGTTTCTGATTAAAATTATAATCTATAATCTGTTAAGGTATATTTTATATTCTGTTTTAACAGTTATACCAAACTAAATAAAACATATGTGAGCTTGTTGTGGCTTATGAGGCTAAACGTTGGTTTTTGATTGATCTGTTATATCCCTTATTGAAGCCATGCTTGTTGGAGTAGCCTTTGGCTTGACCTTGCTTCTTGTTCACATCACGTGGTCGGTAGTATTTTATTGGGTTGAGAAGAGGTGTGGATGTGATGGGCACAACACATCTCCCCTTGGAGAGCACGGTGCACCAAGACAGTTTCTTAAAGACCCAGGAAGATATTTGTGATTTGGTCGGCCTCTTTTCTTTTTCTTATTTGTTATAGCATCTCTAAAATTTACTTTTTTTTTTTTTCCGTATTAAATTTGAGTAAAGATTTAAGTTAAAAGTTTTATCTGATACCAAGTGTTTCAACACTAAATTTTTAATTTTCATCAAACAACTAGTCCATTGGAAGAATGACCGGGAGGATGTTCGGACGGTCGTTCGGCCTAGTGTAAATTTTCTTCAAATTTTTCCCAATTCGGTGGTCGTTCAGCTGGTTGATCGGCTGGTTATCCATTTGGTCATCAATCCACTAATGGTCATTTGCGAGATTTGATGAAAGGTTAAACGCTCCTTTAATTTGATGAAAAAAGTAAGACTGTGTTTGATTTGATTCTCAAACCATGATTTTACACTAATAAACAACCTTTTGTTTGATTATAGTTTTCAAATTAATTTCAAAACATATTTTGAAAACATGTTTGGTAAAGATTTTGAATTTTTTATCCACTCAGTCATCCATCCGAACATCCTTTTAGACAATTTTTGAATGTTTAGATTTACCTGGTTGTTCTCTTGGGCAAAAATTTATATTTGTTTTTAATATTTTTTAAATATAGAAAATATTTTTTTGAGACAAAAATGACAAATTATTTGGATATTTATTTAAAATTAATAAAAAAAATAAAAAATAAAAAATAATTTGTCACAATAATTTTTAAAAAATAAAAAATATTTTTAAACAAAACAATTAAATTTTTTTTTCAATATAATCAAAAGTAATTTTAAAGTACTAGCTGAATATTTTTATTAACAAATAATAATATTTTTTTAATATTTTAAATAAAAAATATTTTTGGAATTTTTTTAATTTTTTAAATAAAAAAATTATTTTTTTCAATAATTATTATTTCTTTAAAAAATTAAATTTTAAAAAAAGTCTGGTTTGATTGTGAGTTGTGCGTTTGACTATAAGTTTTTGAATTAAGTTTTGAAAACTTTTTTCAAAACTAATAATTAAATAACTTTTTATAAACTCAACATTCATTTTAAAAATTTAACACTTAATTCAAAATTCAATTCAAAACTTATAACTAAATAAATTTTCTTTTTTCAAATCATGATTTCAAAACTCACAAACTCAAAATATAACTCCACATTCGAATCATAATTCTAAACACAAACCAAACGCTATTTAAGGCTCTCTTCTTTTGATTACCAATTTAGTGAAATAGTTGAAATATTATTTTTATCAAATTTAAATTTACGTTAGAGATGGCCTTAGTACTACTAAATTAAGATAGTCAACTGAACATGAAACCCGAGGCTAAAGGTCCAGGTGGTAACTGTTTTGTTTCATCATGGATGCAAGAAGATGGTCTTTTGACGTCACTGGACCTAGAGGTTAATTTCAAGATCTTGAGCTTTTAAGTCTTCTGAGGGTTAATTTGAGGTTTACTCGACCGTTAATGTGAGAGTCTCTACAAATTAATTTTTAACTGCCCAGTTATGAAGTAATTGGCTGAGTTGGGTGTGCTTTTCTTTTCTTTTCTTCTCTCTTTTTTTTTGGGTAGGTTATAATGGATCTTATTTTATAAAAGAAAATTAGATTTTTAAATTTATTTCCAATAATGTAGATTGTTGTATGTAAATTGTTAACTTGTTAATTTATTAAGGAATTAACCAATTAAGACCTAAGGCTATGTTTGTTTGGATGGATTAAATAGGGAGGATTGTAATTTATTGAACTATTTGATTGAAAAGAATGTGTATTTCATGTTTGTTTTTTATGAGATTAGATGTCTAGTAATGATCCGGAGTATCCAAAAAAAAAAAGAAAAAGAAGATGTCTTGTAATGACTATTCTATTGGATTTAATGTTTGATTGAGATATTATGAAGAATGATACAGAGTAGGGGTGTTTGTGGTTCCGTTGCAGTCAGGAAATTTCTAATCCATCATCCATCTGCCTGATGGGCAGATTGGAAAAAATTAATCCGCATCCGTCCGCTAAATTGACGGATGTGGATTAAGCGGATTGGCGGATAAATGTGAATAGGTTTGGCGGTTTAAATTTTTATAAATCTTAAACATAATATAAAAATTTGTCAACATTTTTTTTTTGGGAGATTTATTTATAAATCCCTTTTAGAGGTGTTCTATTCTAATAAGTCCACAAACTATTCTTGTAGCCTAGTTAGTCTCATGTATTTATAGTTTTATTTTATGAGGTCTTTTTTTTTCTTTTCTAATTTAGATTTTTTGTTGGACTATTATACCCTTATTTTACTTTATTCATATATATTACACACAAATAAGATATACACGTTTTTTTATATTTTATTCTTTTTGATATATACGTTTTTCATTTTTTGCTCTTTTTGTGTTAGCAATTTTGCATGATCACTGTTTGTTGGAGATTCATTTTTTGCTCTTCTAAAACAATGTAAATGTTCACATTAATTTTATAATCTCTAAAAATATGACAATATCAACATTACAATAAATTGACGGATGTGGATTAAGCGGATTGGCGGATAAATGTGAATAGGTTTGGCGGTTTAAATTTTTATAAATTTTAAACATAATATAAAAATTTGTCAACATTTTTTTTTGGGGAGATTTATTTATAAATCCCTTTTAGAGGTGTTCTATTCTAATAAGTCCACAAACTATTCTTGTAGCCTAGTTAGTCTCATGTATTTATAGTTTTATTTTATGAGGTCTTTTTTTTTTTCTTTTCTAATTTAGATTTTTTGTTGGACTATTATACCCTTATTTTACTTTATTCATATATATTACACACAAATAAGATATACACGTTTTTTATATTTTATTCTTTTTGATATATACGTTTTTCATTTTTTGCTCTTTTTGTGTTAGCAATTTTGCATGATCACTGTTTGTTGGAGATTCATTTTTTGCTCTTCTAAAACAATGTAAATGTTCACATTAATTTTATAATCTCTAAAAATATGACAATATCAACATTACAATAACTACAAACCATCATTTCTATGTGAACACAAATATGAAGGATAGGTTTATGCACAATCAAATTATTGATGTGAGTGTTGACATTACGAATAAAATATCAAATAAATTAGTTTAGTCACATGAAACTAATAGTTATGTGTATATAATTATAAAGCAACAGAAACCAATGTGAATATTAGCATTGACTTTGTAACAACAAACATTTTGATAATACCAGTGTACCTTATTAGGCATAACCAAAATAATTAATTCTGGTTCTTTTGTTCAATCAATATATATTCCAATATTTTTACAAAATTGCAAAGGATGTGAAATTCACATCCATTGATAGTTAAGATCATGGGTTTTGCACATAAATCATGGGTTTTGTATTGGAGAAAACCATAATATTCACATCAATAATAGTTTTTGGCATGCTTGTATGCTTTCAACATGCATAAAATGACATCATCAAACTTCATGCATTTGGCATGGTTGACCTTAACGTTCATCAATGCATCAAATAATATCCAAAATGGAGTTTGTCTCAAATAGTTCAACTGAGCCTCTGAGAACTTGGTGCTCGTCATGTGATATTTGATTTGTGGTAGTTAACACAATGCATGTCGATGTGGGTGCTCCTCTCTATCGGCACGTTATCGTCTTTGACATGATAATCCTCTCTATTCCTCTTTATGCGGAATTTAGGGCAACGTCTGCTACATAGACATGCACATTAGTGAGTGTCTATATAAGCATTCAAATTGTTAACATCACAAAACTTAAACCAGTAATTAAGGTTCACATCAAAATCGAACTACAATTAGAAGACACTTTATTATTTGGAGGTTAGCTTGATGTGAATGTTCACAATATATTATACAAATGGGTAGATCCACAACAATCATGTAACAAATTTATTCATAGCATGGGCCACTAAGACATCACCAACATATCATTAATTTCAAAGTATATCATATTGATAAGAACATAATTTCTCAACACAAAGGAAACATTTACATACTATCTCAACAGTAACATTCACATAACCATATTGACCAAACCCATGTAACAATTATTTTAGTAATAAGAATAATGTGAATATTCACTTTGACATTCACATGAGCCATATTGTGAATAATGTTAAACTTTAGAAAAATCTAATTAAGCCATAATTATTGCAACACAAAACCATTATGTTTAAAATAAAAGTGGCTTGTATAATGTCAACATGCACAGAAAAACATATAATATGAATGTTCATATCCATTAATAGGGGGTGGTCAATTTAAGCCGATTGTGAATGTTCACATTAGAATAAC